GATGGATGTGGTCTTTTGGCTGGGTTGACTGAATTTGTGAGGAAGCTGAATCCGTGGTGTACCAAATTGGTTTACATCAGTAGCATTCTTATGAAACTTCAATAAAATTTACTCTAAAAGAAGCTTGGAAAATTTGACTTCAGATGATTTGAGGTCATTGAAGCTATGTTTCTATGCATTGTGACTGCCTGGAAAAATTGCCACCTCCCATGAGGGGTATATTCAGTGCCTAGGAAGCATCCTTTGGCACTTACAGATTTATTGAATTTTGGACCAAAAACCATAAATGAAATTTATAGTTTTTCCGATAGGAGCTGTCAAAGAAGTACACATTGCTCGCACAAAATGCTTTCAAATTGGAGTCCAGCGTTTTACAAACAGTTACAAATGTAAAACAATGATAAAAATGCCTTTGTTCATTCATTAATCTTCTCTTAGTTTGGACCATAACACTTGATGACCATAACACTTGATCTACTCTCATAACTCTTTTGTTAAATTTTCCTTACAATGTTGATTTTGAAGACATCTCTTCCTTGCCCATTTTTTGATTTATGGAGACCATGACTATGCATGATTGTATTAGTATATTAATGGAATCACCCTCATAAAATTGTGAAGATCCTCATCACTATTCAAAGCTGATGTAATGCTTGCCAATCAAGCAAAGTATTTTCAACTATAAGGGGTTATTTGAAATGTGCAGTAGTGCATCATCATAGAATAATGTACTTTTGTTCTATGCCACTCTCCAATTTTTGTTCAACTGTGGACCGTTTGTTCTGACTGGTTTCCAAAATTGGACTTAACTGAAGTTTGCTCTTGGCTTTGCAATTGACAGGAGAATCTTGATTAAAGTAATAAAATATACAGGGCATCACAATGCTTGTGGGATCAGACTGCTGTTAGGATACTATGATATTTGCACAATAACCAACTACCAATTTCTCAAGTGTCTGTGAGTGCATGGAAAAAGATTTTCTGCTTTCCCCAAAGCTCATTAACATAGTGAGAAACTTAAAAGTTTTACCTTTGCTTTTGCTTATTCAGTTTGCACAAGTTTTTCACCTGAGGAGATCTGTGGACTCTGTACTTGTTGTGTAGCACTTCTTATACTTGTTGTGTAGCACTGACAAAACAAAGGTTAATTATAAAAGTGAAATAAGGTTGCGTTTGATCAAAAGGATATTCTTTATCGATCATCAAATCATTTTAGATTGTGTTAAAAAATAAATCAGTTAGGGTTAAAGTTATTCTAAAGATATAAGAAAGTAAGAATAAGAATTAAAGAAAAATTATCAGTAACTACTACATTACAAGAGTATTTAAAAAAATGGCTTGAGAATTGAGATTACCAATTTCAAGCGGTTTGAGCTTTTTAAATTAGGCAACACTCAAGTTAACCTCTGATCCAGTGCTCTGATCAGTGGGTATGTATGGGAATGTAAACAGTTTCAGTTCAAATCACTCATGATGATTTGATTGTATGCAGAGTATGTCAAGTTATAGGAATTAGCCATGACAAAGATGAAAATTCATCTGAAAACCAAAACTGCTTCAACAGATTATGGTTCATTATCATTTTATGGAAGCATCTGTCAATAATTTGAAGGTCTTTCAAAACACACTCACAAATTTCAAGTCTGGCAACAACCCAAATGTTTTATTCACATTGTAACATTGTTTATTCGACAATAGAAAATCAAAGTCAATGAGAAGTTAGCTATTAGAGTTTTATTAGATACTATTAGTGCATGCCTGTTCAGCCATCCTTCTGTTACAGAGATAACTGTTAATAGCTTTAGAGCAATCCACAGCAGTTCCTGTTGTGTCAACAACAATGGAAGAATTTGAATATAATCGGTTCGATCTTTTTTATTTAACTGGATCTGAGGTAAGTTTCTTCCCTGCCCTACTTACATTCGGCCCATCTAATTCCTGTGGTAAAAGGAAAAGCTGCACAATATGCATGGCAAAATTCTTATTGAAGGTAGACTTTAACTGCAGTGAAGGAGGGTACATCTGAAGTTTCCTCCTCTGATGGTGCACAGTTAGGTGGTGAAGTTCTCATCATTAAATTTCATTTAAGAATACTGGAATGTGAGCAGCATCTTGCAGCACTGAACAAACAGATGCAAAGGTGTATGTTTAATTAGTTCCATTGGTTTTAATGACATGTGGACAAACTTGACTTGACCGATAAATTTTCCAATTTTTTTTTTTTGTATATTAACTTGGGCTGTGTTGAATATTGAAATAAACTATCAAGTCTCTTTTTGGATCATACATGTATGTGTAGAAATAATTGTGTAATCAAGTTTAATGTTATGTTGGTGGAAATTAAGTGACACTTTGTTTAGGTACTGCGCCATTATGGAAGAAAGGTTTTATAACCTACATTTAATTCTAAAGAAATTGTTTGAGTTCTGGACTAATTTTTCCAGCAGCAACACTTTGCTTAATGGCTTTCATGACATCACATGAGCAAATCTCACCCTTCATTATCAACAGTTGACTTTGAAAGTCCACAATACCAAAACCTGTGGTCACAATCTCAAACTCTCCTAGGAATGTAAGGTCCCTTTCTCTTAGGCACATCATGTGGAAAAAGTGGTGTTTAAACACTCTCCACCACTGTAAGCTCTTTTTGGCATGCATTTGTTTTCCACACACTACGCCAGCTTAACATACTTTACCTCTCTACCCTGCATTGAATTGAAGGCTAATCCATAGCAAAGCCTCAGATGTGGTGGTGACCAACTGTCCTCACAGTAGAAGTGACACCATTAAGCAACAAACAGTTGGCATTGAAAAAGTGTTGGCATCAGATCTTTAGCTTTTCCATTTGCTCAATGTGCACCTCGACTGATGAGAAAATAGAAACTGCGTCTCTGAATTTGACGACAACAAATGCCAGTGTGAAGTTTCACAACTGACGCCTTTGAAAGAGAGTTGATCTTCAGAAGTTCCTATACCAAAGAGGCAAAATGCCAACAAAAGTACTTTGATTCAAGCCTTGTGAATCCATATGAGAATGTAATAATTTTCTTTTGCCCCTTGGTGAACCACTGAAGAATGGCCTTGTGTAATCTCTCATACTTGACCTTGTCTTTCAGGCACTTCAAAACTGCTAGCAGAGGGGAACTGCCTGGAAGGTCAGAGACTGTTGTTTCTGCCTTGAGGTGACTCTGGTTTGTGTACTGCATTACAACAGAGAGTGCAGCTGAAAATCAGTTCTACCAAGCATCGTTTATGCTATGTAGAGGCTCTACCTTGAGTAAATCAACATAATTCCCCGACAGAGGAACAAATTCTTGTCTCAACTTGTTTTAAGCAATAAATTTGTAATATGACCTCTTTGTTTGCCTATGGGATCTTTAAGTCCTTCCTTTGAGTTTTCCACTTTATCTGCCATGGCCAGTCTCTTGGTGTACTGCTATGGTTACCATGTGGCTTTAGGGCCACCAGTAAAACCATGGCTCCCTTGTGTGTTTGATTAACATTGGCAAAAGGTAGAAAGTAGGTTGCACAATTGTTTAGTTCTCATAAGTGGGATGACATCCATTTCATGTCAGATGGTATCAGTTCAAATTTGAACACAACCTGTCCTCCTATCTCAGTGGTCAATGTCTTCTCTTCAATCTGTTCCATTTCTTCCCTCAGGTGATTTGAGTAAGATTTCATGAGTGGATAATCTTCTTTGCAGTTGGCACCAAGGAGTAAATTATTATCATCACAACTTTGTACTCTGTTCAGCAGGTTAAGAAAGTTAACTAAGTATTCTAAGCAGTTTGTATTTTAAATTTGTAATGTATGACAGTGTATTAAGTATTACACATCATGAATAAAAAGATGGTCACTGAGCCACTAGGAACTGCGACCAACAATTTCAAACTATAAATACAATTACCAGTCAGGAAAAGGAAACAAAAATTTTCTTCATACGTAATTTAGGCAGTTATCCACAAAAGTTAGTTAATTAAAAAATTAACAAAATTGAAATAATTAAATGAAAAATAACTTTGTAAAATATATTAAAGTTCACACGGCAACCAGGTGGACAATCAGACATAGTTTGATGCTACTCTGGTTTGCAGATTTAATGAATGTAACTGAAAAAGTTAATTCATAGACCCAACGTTTCGACACTCCTGTCTAGTGCCTTCATCAGGGGTGATCTAAACGCTGCGATAAGAGGTCCTTTTATATGATCACTAATTAGCGGCCTTTTTTCTGACGAGGTGTAAATAGATGTCAGGAAGCATTGTTGGGAATACTGATTACACTGTCAAAAATTCCTGCGGATTTCATAAGAGATAAAACTCTTAACGCTTGTGATGAATTAGTATCTTTCAACGTTGTTTCGCTCTTCACCAAAATCCCAGTTGATCTTGCCGTTAAGGTTGCGGAGGAAAGACTCAGAGAAGATGCTTCCCTGGGACAAAGAACTTCTTTGCCTGTGGAGGATATTATTCATCTGCTGTCGTTTTGCCTCAAAACCACGCAATTTACATATAACGGCACCTATTATCAACAAGTTTTTGGTACAGCGATGGGTTCGCCCGTTTCTGCTGTCATCGCTAACATGGTAATGGAAGACGTGGAACAAAGGGCCCTAGCCACTTCACCGGTTAAACCCTTTTTCTGGAAACGATATGTCGATGATGTTATTTCTGTGGTATCCGGAAATGAAGCGGAGCACCCCTTGTCGCATTTGAATTCAGTAGAGCCGTCGATCCAATTCACCCTTGAGCGCAAAAAGGATAGACATTTGCCCTTTCTTGATTTAAATGTGTCCAGAGGGGTTCAGGGTAATTTAGAGACAAGTGTCTACCATAAACCTACCCACACCGACAAATACCTCGCTTTCGATTCTCACCACCCTATTTGCCATAAAAAGTCTGTAGCCAAAACTTTACTTAGGAGGGCTGACTGTCTACCATCTTCACTCCATTCGAAGGTTGATGAGAGGAAATATGTTTCCAATGTCCTAAAGGCAAATGGCTATACAAAAACTTTTCTCTGTAACTGCCAAAAACCAGTTACAAATAGTAACGCTCTTGATGAAAGGGAACCAAGCGACTGGTTTTGCTGTTATTCCTTACATACAGGGTGTTACGGAACCCATCAAGAGAATTTTGAATAGCCACAACGTGAAAGTTGCTCAAAAACCTTTTCAGACTTTGGGGCATATTTTCGCCAAACCTAAGGATCCTATCACGAAAGAACAACGAACCGACGCCATTTATTCTATTCCTTGCAATGACTGTGACAACGAATACATAGGACAGACCAAACGTCAGTTTGGTACATGGTTAAAAGAGCACCAAAAAGCGGTTTTTCTTCGCAAAAAAGAACATTCAGCTTTATCGGAGCATACATGCCTAACCAACCATACAATTGGGTGGGATAATTCTAATATTATCACCACTAATCGGCGTTACCACCAGCACCTTTGTTTGGAGGCTTGGCATATTAACTCTGCCCACACTCCTTTAAATCTTGACGATGGCGGTTTGCTTCCTGGCGCCTATTTACACCTCGTCAGAAAAAAGGCCGCTAATTAGTGATCATATAAAAGGACCTCTTGTTGTAGCGTTTAGATCACCCCTGATGAAGGCACTAGACAGGAGTGTCGAAACATTGGATCTATGAATTGTTGAATCATTAAATCATTAAATCTGCAAACCAGAGTAGCATCAAACTATGTCTAACTTTGTAAAAGTGAACAAAGAGAAGTAGATGCTGTGTGCCATACACTGTCAGTCATGTATATGCCCTTTGCAGATTTCAGAGATGGATATAGTTGTACTATTGATAAACAAATTTGACGAAAAGTTTTTGCATCCATTACACAAAGGCCTGCTAAGTGGATCCCTTCCGAAACCATTTTCAATATGAAAGTAGTATTCACGGATACAACAGATATGCTTCTTATTATTAGTTATATGAAATGATAGAGAATCGTAATGAGGGACTTCAGGTTCCAGAGAACTATTTGGAAGTCTTTACCGAAAGCCCCACTACACAACCAGAAGTGCCAGCACCCACACAAGCAGAAATAGAAAAGTCTTATTTTACCAAAGCAAATGCAAAGGAACGACTGTTTGCTGAGCATGGTACCTCCGTTTGCTGACCATTACTTGTTGTCCAGTTGCAAAATATCAATTTGCATCTTATCAATTATCAAGTAGCCTTCTGTCTTGCATTATAAGAGTGGGTAGTTTGTTTCGAAATGGCGCGGAAAAAGTCTGCAAAGGCTTCTGGGCTCTGCCTTATTGGGATTCAGTCTATATATTAGCTTTTTGTTGATATGTGATAAAGGCAATTGAAACTTGCATAGCTGGAAAAAAATGGCATGATAGGATGCAAAAATGCAGTGCCAAGTAATGGTGGTGAGGGCTTTAAGTAATCATTTTCTATGAACTTTTTTTGGAGTGTAACGAGTAAGAACAATCTTATTTAGAATGTAGAATAAAATGTTTCCTTCTTTATACACAGGAATCATACAGTATTTCTTTCAGCATACTGTTATCATTTGATCCCTAAGTGGTGAACTATAGACTTTCCATACCTGTTGGCTTGTGTTCATTGGCATAAAGTCCACCCACACTCAGGGTTTTATTGTGGTTTGCCCATTCAAGTATGTTTGCCATCATTCAAAGTTGAATGTGTCGGAGCATTCATGCCAGTGTCAAGGATTGAAAGCATTTATGTTGTGGCTGATCTGTAATATGATCTTAAAACTCCAAATGGTAACGAGAAAGTCATTGTAGCTGTTCCACTTGACGTTAAATTGCATGTTTAAAGATATTCCTTTCTATTTTTGGGAACTTTTCATTTGATACCCTGGTCTTAAACTTTGCACATACATCTAGGATAAGACCTTGCTCCTCGATGATTGACTATTTCAGTATAATTTAAGCCCAATGAGTGATTAGCTTCGACCTTCTCTTCAAAATATTAGCCCATTATCAGTATGTGTAGACTATTGGGCTCAAAGGGTTGAAATCTTAAGTTTTCACTTTGTAGGTCTGACAAGTCAGCGAGTGTAGGATACCCCTTCTGTCGTCCAATGTCTAATTACACATTTTCAGATTACAGGTCCTTAAATTTAAGGGGTCCATTGAGGTTGTTTAATGAAAGAAGTATGAAAACATTTGACTTTCTCGTCCTAAAATTACCTTATCATACTGTATGCTTTGGTCATAGCCAAACAATTTGTATTAACTTATTGTCATTGGTTGCTTATTGTTAGACGCATGTCAAGGTATTAAGGACAATAATACATTTTTTTGTTTATTGGACGGTATTTACTCATTTTCGTCTTCTGGTACATGTGATCAGACAAATGAGGCAATCATTAAAATACCTAACTATCAATAGCCATACAATTGTGGATATTATCAAATAGTTCCATTATAGCCACTTCTAAAATACCTCAAACTCTGGCAAACGTAAATGATACATCTGCTTAAGAGATAAACTGGAGCAAATGATCCAATCAACATAATGGAGCTATTTGGCACAAATGATCAAACAGGTAAAAGGGAGTCAAGTGATGTAAATCAGCATCCAGTAGTCCAAATGACCTATTTGAAGAAACAAATGACCTCTTTGGCTCAAATATTCCAACCAGCATGGATAGCAAAAATAGCCCAGCCGATACAAAGTACCTAGATGATCTAAATAAACCAGTGACCTAACCAACAAAGATAATCCAAATGGCTGAAATGAATGAAGTGGACAGAATGAACCAAGTGACCAGACAGCCATAATTTGCATGAGTTACTGGAATGTGTAACCAACACATACACAGAAGAAAAAACAGTCAATGGTGGAGATTATGGCCAGTTTGAAATATATACTGCCCAAAGTAATGTCTATGGGTTTTAAGAGTAAATGTCAGTAAAAATCAAGGAAAATTCAAAAAACGTGGCCACGGTCAAAAAATCGATTGCGCTCATACTTTGTCAGTTTGAAGGCCTAGGTAAGTAACTGAAGGATATGAGGTTAGTTTTTTTAAATATTCCATATAACGGCAGAAAACCACGAAAAACGGTCACCCTACCGGAAGCTCGGATTTCACCTGGCGGAAACTCGAAATTTTACACTTTTCAGCTTCTCGCTACACAGACGTTTACATAGCTGTGAATCTTTCTTAAGTATAATTGAATACATTGATTCTTCCTTAGTCAAACCATGGGAATTATTTTTATCTCTGCTTATTTGTGAGCGAACTGAGACCCGATTAAGAAGACACACTTTTCTCATTTACGCGAAGGTGTAAAATAATCCAAACTCAGCGACGAAAAAAGCTGACCGGTAGTTCTTCAAATCCTCTGATATTATGACCAAAGACAGTTCAGTCATTGATTTTTAGGTCTACGGTTTTAAATCTTTAGGATCTAGTAGCACTTTTGCATGAACGCCGATCAAAATTCGATAAAATTCCAATTGAGCGCCTTTGAAATCTACAACTTTACATAACAAAGCACTATTGAATAAATTAACTCCTCGGCCAAAGTTTGTACATAAAACATAAGGGTTTTGCTTTTTTAACGGTTTGAAGCGTTTTAAAAATATATATTAATGTTAAATATTGTCTACACAGGTAAAACAAACTATGAAACACCAAAATTACCACGAGCTGAAATTAAATCTCACAGGCTCGCTCCCTAATCTGCGTCACGCACGAGCTGATTTTAAATAAGTCGTATTTTTAAATATCTTACTCAAAGATGTGCCAGGTTTCCCAGTTAACTTGCTGAAAAAAAAAAGAAAACCTTAATAGTAATTCTAGCTCAATTAGAATTGATTTTATTTAGTATGAGAATTTTTGTGCCGTCGAAAACCAATCGGAAGTAACTGTTTCCACGAAAAGCAAATATTGCATCGTTCTCTAAATAAACAAATCTACTTAACCATATAACCAGAGTATGTTGTTGGCGAAGTTAATAGACATACATAACAACAAAGTCTTGCTCGTTCTTGAATATTGTCGGTGGGATTTGCGGCGCAGACGAACGCACTTGCTAAGTAACTTCCAATGGCTAATTTCTACCCTTACTCAGCTTTCGTCACACTGCTCACGCTGTGTAACAAGGATATAAAACATCGCACGAAGTCCTAAAAAACTCTCCGGACTTGAACCAGAATTGATTTTAGCAAGATTGCGTGTTTTTAAAAGCCAACGAGTTTATTGGAGATGACTACCCGTACCGTCTCATCGTGTCACTTAGGCATAACCTGACACGATGTCGATAGTTTCGACTCCTGATGGCCGAGAGCACTCGGATTTCTTTTTTTCCGAGTACGCCTGTGTCACTTACTGAATAATACATCATTCTCATTTATTCACCAGGCTTAAAAATATTCCATCACATTTATTCCATTGCACGTATGCCACACATGACATTCCAATCCTAGCAGTATGCAGAATGTTTGTCCCATGAAGCACTCGGATTTTTTTTCCGATTATGCCCGTGTCACTTACTGAGTAATACATCATGTTCAAAAGTATTAATTTTTGCACCATACAGGAAGTTGTTTCGGGTCACTCAGCAAGAGCTGTGAAAAGTAGCCGCACTGGAATAGGAATATATTTTTTCCAATCCATGAAGGTATTTGACCTTTCAAAATAGCTCGTCCCTATGGGCTCAGGTAAATAACAACTAAAAAATGTACTACCAAGCAGGACCTTACTCCAATGAGTTTTGTATCCTCTTCATTCTGTTGTCCAATGCGACTATTAAAAACGCTATGAGTTTTACGACTTGCATGTTTTATTGATTGCGCTTGTCAAACAACACTACAGTCTGTCATTGATAGAGAAAATAAAGTTTAATTTTGACAATATTCGATGAAAAATACTAAGAATTTTCCAAAGAGGGCACCGAAGAATAAATAATGTGCACTGTCATTTTTACGACATTTAAAAAGGAGGGAAGGAGGTGGGGGAAAGGATTTAACAACCATACTACTCTCTCTCCCCAACCACCCACAAAATGCACAGTTTGCACAGTATACTAGTGGAAACGTCACAACAACATTTATATGTTTACGTTTAATAGCACAATTACGGTCGTTGCATCACTCCAATATGGCCATTTCCCCACAAAACTATAGTTAAGTAGATCTTTGATCAATCTTGTACGTCAAGCTTTGTTACTTTGAATTTTTCTTGGCTTCTTGCGGAGACAATTTCAAACTTTTTAGCCCTAAAACTTTGAATGGATATATAACTGTAATTAGCTTACATTACGTGACTGGTTGGCTGGTTTAATTCGGTGGCAGCCTTGAGGTGGTCGCCATACCATTAGTGTATCTACCTCTTCACTGAACACACTTTTAAAAAAAGATAACGATCAAATGAAACGAATTTTTCGAAAGAAAACAAATGATGTTACCTTGTATACAATTATGCGCAAGGCATAATTAGTCAACAGAAAACAGTTTATTAATCTGCTTATGAGGTACAGCCGCACTCGCCTACAAGCTTTGAAAGACGACTAATAAACGGATTCTTTCGTCTTTGTGTTATATCAGAGACGTCCACACCAAGTTCATCGCAAATACTGCGCAGCATGTCCACACTCAGTGACATCAGCTTTTTCTTGCCCATGCGCATGAGTTCACAGATGTTGTAACCTGACGACGAAACAATAGGGTGCTGAAGGGAAACCTCTCTCGTCACTTGCGCACAGATTTCAGATTGGATTACCTGTTCTTGTGATGCTCTGTCATCTTCTCTAGTGGTCTCTTCGTCCGACTCTTCCCGGTTCACTGTACTGGGAGGAAGCCTTTTCTTTGCTGCCAGTCGTGAGAAGAATCCAGTGATTTGCTGTCCTGTTAGTACTTCTTCTGGTAGAAATCGACGAGCTCCTAACTCGTCCCTTGAAGATCTCATCATTTTTGAGACTTCATTCGGATCTGCTTTCCTTCCACTCTGCTCGCCAATTTCAAATTGTTGTTTCAAAAATTCATTCTGTTTTTGCGTAAAACGTGTCTTCTTTGTGATTGTCTTAAGTGCCCATCCCATTGTAAGGGGCGAAAAGCATTGGCTGTTTTGTTCTTCACAATGTAACTGCACAGTGAAAATCCTGCTACCTTCATCCATTAGCTTTGAAGCATATCCTCGTTTTGCTTCGTCATACAGCGTTTCCTGTTCAGGTAGTCGCTTGTGTTTCCCCGTGTCTAGATGTGCTTGTAATGATACAAAGCGGCTGTATGCTTTAATGCACCCTTCCTCGGGGCATGGGAAAAGTGGCGAGGCTTGCACGTTTTCACCATCATCATCATCTTCTTGTTCTCGGCTATTGGCATCACTGGCTGCGTTTGGATCACTTGCAGATTTTTTATTTACATGTCTGTGTCTCACCTTCTTGAAAGATGGCTTAGTACTCAATTTCTGTGATGGGGGATCAACCACTTCAAGAGTTTCCGGGACCTGCAAAACTCCTTCAAACTGAGACCACGGTAGCAACTTTCCAGGACCCACATTAAATGCCCTCCACTCTCGTATTCCGTTCTCCTCATACTTGAAGTTGTTGAGTAAGCTTATACCATCCCATTTGACGTGCCGAGTGCTTGACGGGTTGAATGTAACGTAACTAGCCTTAGCGCAAGATCCTGGACCAGACTCTATGGCTGTTTTGAGCTGAATTGCTGTTGTCACATCATTGCCCTCGTTTACATATCTTCCAATGTCCCCTTTAATAGTCGCTGCTTGGCGGTCACATATTCCTTTTCCACCTTGAGGATCGGAAAAGTCGTTCCGTTCCACGCCCACGCCAGCAATGTCGCCTGCAAATTTTGCTGAAACGATAGTGTATCCGCTGTGGTAACAGCCGGCATTATCTTGTTTATAAAACGCCCTTTCTAATTCCGGCATTTCCTTCTTCAGCGAAACAAGAAAATCCTGCATTATCGATACCACTACAGCACTGTCTTGTAAACAGTTCTGAAAGACATGTACGAATGTTTGAGACTCAAACTGCTCGCCTTCTTCCGACTTCCTAATAGCAACTGTTATGTGCCATGGTAAACCGCGCTTAGCAAACCAGTCTGATTGCGGCTCTCGAAATTTTCGTGGCATAAATTTCATTGCCCAATCCTGCACTAGTAACACGTCGCATTTGCTCTTCATTTTAGCTAGAACAGAACATTTGGCCTGATCTTGGTGAACGGAGCGCAACTGGTGGGCTTTCCAGCTCATGATATTATTTCTGGCCTGCTTAACAGCGTGTAGCATGTCCGATTTCTGCTCCTCGTTACAAACTGCACTTGAACACTCACTCTCCAAGATGCTTAGAACAATATTCAAGAACGAGCAAGACATCGGTGTTCTATGAAGTTCCCCGACAATAAACTCTGGTTTAAGATGCAATGTTTCACAGATAAAGATAATTCGATTTATTTATTTAAAGAACGATGCAATTTTCGTGAGAACAGGTACTTCTGATTGGCTATCGACGGCATAAAGCTTCTCATTCTTAATAAAATCAATTCTTATCGGTTCAGTTTGAATTGCTATTATGATATTTTCTTTTATTTTTACTTCAGCAAGTTAACTGGGGAACCTGGCACATCGTTCAGTAAGATATTTTAAAATAAGACTTATTGTAAATTAACAGATGTAAATATCTGTTTGTTACTGTACTAATTTTAGCGAAGTCGCTCGTGCGTGACACAGATTAGGGAGCGAGCCTGTGAGATTTAATTTCAGCTCGTGGTAATTTTGGTGTTTCATAGTTTGTTTTACCTGTGAAGACAATATTTAACATCAATATATATTTTTAAAAGGTTCAAACCGCTAAGAAAGTAAAACCCTCATGTTTTATGTACAAACTTTGGCCGAGGAGTTAATTTATTCAATAGTGCATTGTTATGTAGAGTTGTAGATTTCAAAGGCGCTCAATTGGAATTTTATCGAATTTTGATCGGCGTTCATGCAAAAGTGCTACTAGATCCTAAAGATTTAAAACCGTAGACCTAAAAATCAATGACTGAACTGTCTTTGGTCATAATATCAGAGGATTTGAAGAACTACCGGTCAGCTTTTTTCGTCGCTGAGTTTGGATTATTTTACACCTTCGCGTAAATGAGAAAAGTGTGTCTTCTTAATCGGGTCTCAGTTCGCTCACAAATAAGCAGAGATAAAAATAATTCCCATGGTTTGACTAAGGAAGAATCAATGTATTCAATTATACTTAAGAAAGATTCACAGCTACGTAAACGTCTGTGTAGCGAGAAAAAGTAGCTGAAAAGTGTAAAATTTCGAGTTTCCGCCAGGTGAAATCCGAGCTTCCGGTAGGGTGACCGTTTTTCGTGGTTTTCTGCTGTTATATGGAATATTTAAAAAAACTAACCTCATATCCTTCAGTTACTTACCTAGGCCTTCAAACTGACAAAGTATGAGCGAAATCGATTTTTTGACCGTGGCCACGATTTCTTTGATTTTTACTGACAATCACTCTTAAGATCTTATATCATACCAAATATATCCTGGTGAGAGCTTCTTTCTAAATTTGTGAAATTACTTGTACAACAATCCTTTCACGTTGTGTATGGTCAAGTATAATTTTAATTACACGCAAGGATAAGGACAAGTATGTCAAGTATATCCTTAACCATCTAAAGTGTTATATATCAGTATATCGTTCCATATGCTAAGTGTATACTGCCTCATTATACCACCTTATATTCGACGTCATACAATGCAATTTGCCAAATACATTGTCATAAATAACTTCTTTGGGTATAAAAGATTATATCATACCAAATATGTCCAGTTCAGAGCTTCTTTCTAGGTATGTTAAATTACTTGCACAATTAACCTTACACTTTTTGTTACGAAAGTATAACTTTCAGTACACACGGACAAGAAGGAGAGGTATACTGAAGGAGAAGAAGGAGAGGTAAACTGAAAAAAATCATTATACACCAGTATATTATGTCGTCCACGTATGTATCTAGCTTAAATAGGATTTATTATTTGCCAAAGCCAGCTGTGTGAGAGTAAACACAAAATCGAGTATTGGAGAAAGGCGTACCAAGCATTATTGGAAAAATATTATCAAGAACCATGCGACGTCGTAGATGGCTGAAGAATACCTCATGGTGAGGCCCGAAGAATTTCAACAACTCATTCAATATTACAAAGGACAAATTACGGACAGTGCCTTACTAAACAAAGCAGGTCGTGTTGCTGCCAAAGAGCATATTATTGTAAACAATCCAAGGGTGCCGAATGCACAGACTAGAGAAATGTTCCAAGAACGTAGACAATTGACGAAACGATTAAGAGATATTCCAAGTGTACTCACGGCCGATTTGGCAGATGTAGAGTCTGAAGAAAGTGCCATGACAGAAGAAATTGTGGAAAATTTACTCAAATGCAAGGCACGGGTACGGTTCTTCACTCTTCATCCAAAGGATCTGTGATTTCCTCCAAGATATTTTGTCTCATAACTTCGTAATTCAGGTACCAACTTCCACGATAATTCAGAGTAAATCGACGTACTTTACAGCAAGACTTGCCTTGTTTGGTGAGATATCCGTAATTTTTGGCACTGCCCGATACAAACTTAGTTATGTAATCATCCTCGTTCAATTCACTGGTCATATCACCACGATAATCGCCTAATGTGATCGTGGTTTGGCCGAGTTTACATGAGAAGATGACAGAATCTGTGTCATAGTAGAGGACTTGATCTCGTAAGGGATCTAGATAACTGTAATTTCAAGTGGGCTTGAGTGGTCGTAAAGGCGGCGATGAAAATATTGGTTTACTTACCTTTCGAAGCGTCTTTGTCCACGTAGCTAAACACCACTTCAAAGACATCTGAAAAGATGCGAATTGCATGAATGACCAATGAATTATTTAAATATTCAAACAATTCTTGAGGCGCTGTGACTGATTCCACCGCATGTTTATTGAGCCATTCTCCAAATTTACCCCAGAATGAGTTCAACATGAGTTTGGCTAATGAATGTTTGGCCGCATTCTTCACAATTTTTCCTGGTTCCATTTGGACACCTTCATGCACTTCATAGTGGTTAATGTAATTCTGCAATTCTTCTTGGGTGCTTACATGAGATGGCCACCTGCTTGATTCTTGTTTCATTTTCAGCCATGTATCCATATACCCAGCAAACAATCCTTCGACACGCTGCTCTTTGGGAAAATGCCAGATTTCATGAATTTTCACAATTCGGTACCCTTTTTACATGGTTCTACTGATTTCAGGTGTACACCACTTACTGTGGATGAGGCGTTCTTGATGGGTGTGGGTACAAGTCCATCAGCGGTCACGCATCGGTTTTGCTTGTTGTTGTTCCACACAGGTACAGCATAATGGAAAAGTCAATTTTCCTCCACTTCGATAGGGTAAGACAGGATTGAACAATTCTTCTGGTGGTACAATATCCACTCTGGTGATGCCATAATAATCTGATAGATCAGTAGTCTGAGGACTTGTTAAAATCTGTGAATGTCCCACGAGATAAGTTCTGTATTTGTTCACCCACGGATGTTCAGAAGTGACATCGATGTAATATACTTTTTCTCCTTGGGCTTCATTGGTCTTGTGGTACAAACATGTAGTGCCGGTCCTTCCACCGTAAAATGTATGACGCAGATCTAGGGGTTCTACAATTTCAAAGGTGTGAAGAAACTGTATCAAACTGTATCAATCGCAGGTCGTGTTTCCCACATTTTCACCTCGGTGAAACCCATCGAGTGTAACAAAGTGGTTTTGGCACAGGTCACGTCATACAGTTCTTCCATGGAATGGTCTAGCTGCCCTTTAGGAACTAATGTGTGGCTAAGATGGCAGTAAGGACAGCCATGCCATACACAGCCGAGAAATTCGTACACGTTCTGGGTTACAGGGTCGAAACCATCCACGTAACACACACGCGTGGGTGTCACGATCGCATGCATGCATGCGTCACGCGATCTCCCCTTCTGGCTGTTTACAGTTCGATCCTACTAAAGACTGAGTCTTAAGCTCCCATGCGACTAAATTACGTCTTTTTCACATTTATCTCACCAAAAACATTTTTCCACTTGTTTGCCGCTGAATTGAGTTCTTTTTAGCTTTATCACAGCCAAAAACAGTTTTCTGCCTGTTTTCAGCTAATCACCCTAATGTTAGCCAAACAACGGTTTTTCCTTTTTCGCAGCTAAATCAGGCGGTTTTTAGCTTTCTAGAACTGAAAACGTGTATATTTGCTTCTTTGCTCTTGAGCTACGCTGTTTTAGCTTAAGTGCACTGAAAAGAGGTTGTGGTATCTTGCCAGCCAATTACGCTGTTTTTACATTTATCTCAATGTTAACAGCGGTTTTGCTTTTTTGTGGCTAAACTACGCTGTTTTGAGCTTTTTTACGCTGGGAAAAGCTTATCTGCCCGTTTGCAGCTAATCAAGCTAACTTCAACTTTATCTCACTCAAAACGCGAGTGAGATAAAGTGAGTGAGATAGATATAGCTAGAATCGCGAATCTTTGGCTACAAAAAGGCAAAGACGCTGTGTTCCCCGAGATGAGGCTCCAAGCTCTTGTTGAGATAAAGCTAAAAACTGCTTGATTCAGAGCAAATCAGGGAAAAAATCTTTTCTGTGCGATAACGCTGACAAAAGCGTAATTTAGCAAGAATAGACAAAAACCTAATACATGTTTTCGGTGCGAAAAAGCTGAGAAAAGCGTAATTTGGCCACATAAATCATTAAAATGTTATATTTAGGGAAGTAAAGCTAAAATCAGCGTGGTTAGCTGCAAACAGGCAAAAAAATTGTTTGATGCGACACAGCTAAAAAGAGCGTAATTCAGCAGCAAACAAATCAATTCAGCTAGTTTGTCCAGTTTTTTTCCTTTCACTGTTTTTGCCTGTTTGGTCACTCAAACCATTTGAACCAATTTAGCTTGTTGGTGAATTTTGTCTATGTGAGCCGATTGAACCAACTCAGTTACTTTCTGCATTTTGTGTCATTTGACTGTTTCTGCCGTTTGCAATTTTTTTCAGTTGAACTGTCTCCATGCTAGTTTGACTATTTAGCCACTAAAGTTGTTTAAGCTGGTTATGCTTTTTGTCCGATAAAATCTTAACTCAAAGCTAAGTTTGACCATCATAGCTACTTGACAGTTGAACCATTGAAGCTAGATTGTACAGTTTGTACAGTTGATGCTATCGAGCTATTTATGCATTTTCTCCAGTTAAAGATAGTTTGACCATGTGAACTACTTCCACCAACAATATAGATTGTACAATTTGCACAGTTCAATTGAAATTAAGCCGGTTGAGCCATTTAAGCTACTTATGTGTTTTGTCTAGTTTAACAATTTCAGCTAGCTCTGAATTTTTTCCACTCGAATAATTTCAGCTGGATCGACCATTTGAACTAGTCTAACCTGTTGACATAGATTTAGTAGACTGTACTGTTACACTGTTTGCGATAGTTTGACTATTTTACTGTTTGAACTATTTAACCTTGTTATGCATTTTGTCCAGTTGAACCTTTTATGCTAGTTTGATCATTTGAACTACTGCAACCAACGCAGATAGATTTGTTAAGTCTGCGTACTTAGCTATCTTTGGTGGTTTAACTATTTCATCACGTAGTAAAACTTTCAAAAAGAGCTAACCTACGCAAATTGCACAATCTATCCTAACTGGTTGAACTAGTTCACATGCGCAAACTAGCTTGTATTGTTCAAGGGGAGAAAATGCATAACTATGCACTTTGTCTACTTGAACAATTTAAGCTTGAGTGACTATTTGAATCAGTCTAACCTATTGTGTAAATTTTGCAGCTATACTGTTTTCCATAGTTTGACTATTTCACTGTTTGAAACCGGACAAAATGCATAACCTAGTTATGCATTTTGTCCGGTTAAGCTCCTTAAACCGGTTTGACCATTTAAACTACTTGTGTATTTAACTACGCTGGTTTTACTATTTAAGCAATTAGTCGAACTATCCAAATCTCTTTTCACTGGTTAAAATTGCTCGAATGATTAAGCTACCTAAAATTGTTCAAAAGGCCAAAATGCATAAACTACTTAATAGGTTCTACTAGACAAACTCTTCAATCAAACTTAGTTGGTTCACCTGGTTAAATAATCAAACTGACGAAAGCAGTGAAACTGCAGAAATTGCACAATCTATATCGAATGGTTTAAGTCGTCACTATAATCAAAGTAGCTGAAAATATTTAACTGGACAAAATGCACGCCTAGCTTAAATGGTTTAACTGGACGACTTACCTTAGTTCAGATAGTGAAATAGTCAAAGAGGCTTACTGGGTTGTAGAGCTTAATTAGTCTAATTGGTTTTAACAGTCAAACTAGTTTGAGCATTTTAACTCCTTCAAGCAATTCAGCTAGATTCTGCAGTTTGTGCCGTTTATTGCTTGACGTTAATTTGACCATTTAAAGAACTTCAACCAGTAAAGATAGATTGTACAATTTTTCTCAGTTGACCTTCGTTCGACTGTTGGACCGTATTTGAGCTAAATTGTTCAAATTGTGCAGTTGAATGGATTAGGCTAGTCATGTACTTTGTTCAGTTGAAAACAGTTGAACCGGACAAAGTGCATATCATAGTTACATCTTTTTAGTTAAACCATTTAAGCTAGTTTGACTATGTGAACCACTACCACCAATTAAGATAGATTTTGCAATTTGTGCAGTTTTGCTCAGGTTTAATTGGTTTAACTAGTTAAGATAATCAAACTAGATGGATTGGTTCATATGATTAAGTAGTGGTACTAGCAAAAACATTTCAACTTCACAAATAGCACAATGCATATTTACTGGTTGAAGTAGTTTAAAATGGTCAAACTGTAATCGCTCGATTGACATTTAGACGCTTGACGCTCGATTGACATTGACATTGCTCTTCGTTAAGGATGCCAAGTACTTTGGTGTACTGTTCATGGATGTTGTGAAGGTTGTGAGTGCTGACCCAATGGGTTGTCTGCTCCCCACATTCCTCATCTACTGCTTCAGCCTTATTTGCTCGTTTGCTACGGATTTCCTCCTCCATGGCTGAAACGCAGTTTCTTGCCTCAACCAGGGAGGTTTTGAGCTCTTCAATGACTTTCTCCTTAGTTTCGACAAGTTCAACTAGTTCCTGGGCATCGTTGTTCAACTCTTCGATTTCTCGATTTTTTTTCTTTGAGATCTGCTCCTAGTTCCTCATGCTGTTTGGAGTGCCTGGAAAGCCTTTCCAACTCGTTCATGGCGTTGGACAAGCTCAGAATACAGCTTCCCGTAGTGTGGCTTTGGCTCGTCGCTCTGCGATGGTCTGTTGTGGGATTTCTGAATGGTCCATTTCTTTTGCAGAGGAGGCCAAGATTGGCAATTGCACTTTCTTTTGTCGCCACTGCAGCAAACAAAATCCGAAATATCTGCTCCATGAAAATCTTAATTAAACGGTAACCT